AAAAAAATTTGGCATAAAACCTGTATATTCCTGAACTATAAATTAAAAAGCTTAAATTTTGTGTAGCACTGGAAGTGTCAATAACTAAATATTATTATAAATAATTAACTAATTCTTTTATATTTGTATTTAGATCTATAATGCGAAAAATTTAATCAAATAATGTTTAATACTATCTGTTTATTTAATTCGCACTTGCTTACTTTTTAGTAATTCATTGCAGAACCGAAATGGTTGTCAATTTTGAACAAGTATTATCAAATCGTATTAAAAACTGTACTAACATACCATATGAACATGATTCGTAATTTTATATATTATAAATATTACTACATATTGCCTATTCATTACTGCATATCCATCATAATTTATATTGAGATTCATTTTTTTATATAAATTATATAATTTATTAATTTGTTACTTTACTTAGTCCCTGTAATTTAGAGGAAATATTTGTTACAATTTATAACGATATAGAAAGAAATTGAAATTTTTTTTTATTTATGGTATTTAAATATGTTAAAAATACAAAAATATTGTATCAGTTAAATAACTAAAATTAAACGAGTAAGAAAAAATAATATCTGTAAACAGTCATTTACAGGGACTAATAATATTAAATAAATGAATCATTTATATATTTTTAACAAATAAGCAATAGAAGAATTTGGCATCAAATTGATCGAAACAAAAAATCCTTCTACGAACTACAATTATTTTGTTACTCTCTTAATAAATTTGTATTAATAAATACAAAATAGAGGCACATTTAAAAATCGTGTTGTAATTTATAAAACAAAATATATACTCTGGAAAATAGAAAATAGATTAATTGAATTACGTGACATACATAGTAACAGAAACAATGTGTGCCACATTATATCAGTTAAGCCAATTTAATTGGTCCACTTAACGTTACGTTTCCACTATTAACTAGCTATTAAAGAATATTATTTGAAATAATTTATATCAGAGTTGTTCAACTAGTGCCCTATATTATTTTATTTTAATTAACTTTTTTTTTAATTGAACTTTTTTATGTTAGATTAATCCAAAATCTTAATTTATGTTATAAATAGATCTTTATTCAATATAGGCACTTTGAGTGTAAACATGTGACATTTTACCGTTTTTCTTAATAAATATTCCATTTTTAAATAGAATTGTGTACCATTTTTTTTAATTTACCTTCTTTCATTACAAGCTATTTTATTATTATCATAAAATATTAAAATAAACATTTATTGTTTCGATTTCCCTATATGATGAAGACAATTTTTATTATTTTATATTTATTGTTAACATATATTAACAACAATGATTTTTGAAGGCAAAGTTGAACAACTCTGATCTAATGTTCCGCAAAGGTAACAATATTTGCACTATGATATATCAAAAGAAAATGCTCTCTATATATAATTATTGGTTGATAAATATTTTGGAAGCATATTAACTTTTATTCCATTATTATATATTATTCAAATAAAAACCGATTATAACACAGTGTTCATGTGTTATCACACAAATTAAACTTTTGACAGTGTTTATGTGTTATCACACAAATTGAACTTTTGACAGTGTCATGTGTCATTACACAAATTAAACTTTTGACAGTAAAAAATTATTTTACAATGAAATATCTTACAAAAATCAAAGCATTAAGTATGAATATGCATACATTCATTTGAAATATTTTTTAAATATAAACTTGAAAAAAAGATTATATATTATTTAGTCTGAAATCCATTTAGCTTTGATTTTAACTAAAATAAAAAAATATATTTGTAAGATATAAATTATGTTTAAAATAATTGTTTTGAATGAACCGGTATTAAGAAACATTATTGCAAATAAGTGTTATACACGATACACAAAATGTATAAAAAATATATAAGTTAACAATAATGGAACAATAAATGTTAAAACATTAACATTTGCTATTTTATATGAACAAATATTTGTGTGTCAACACTTAATTTTTTTCAATACACAAAACTGTCCAACTATAATATTAATTTCATAAATTAAAATAATCAGATTATAACAAAAATATACACAATATTACGTCCGATACCGCATTCGGTATTCATTTAAATTTTAAGCTAGTATATGAATATCATCAATATCATAATTACGGATTTTTACAAAGTATGAATAACACGGTTGTTCGAAAACCCAACATATATATTTTATCATGGGTGTCGTTTTTACGTGCAACTAAAAATTTACAAATATCTTTAGATTTAAAGAAATTTTCAGGAAAGTTTTAATAAAAAAACAAAGTAAAACTAGCTCTTATTTTCTATGTATTAAACGTTTCCTTGTTATCTATTCATTCATTTTATCCAACCATATATACAAATATGTACATATCACGATACTGTTGAACTTAAATGTTTATAAAAAAAAAAAGAAAAAAAATTAATCTGTCACGGAACATTGCATTCATATTCATACATATATTGAACCATGTCTTATTTTCGTTTAGCTGCACTCGAACTGTTTCGAGTTTTATTAATACTATGAATTGAATTCATAAAAAACCGTTGATAAAAATATACATGAAAAAATAATTGCTAGATTTCTTTTCTTTTGTATACAACAATAAAAAATTTAGATAATATTATATGTTTTATTTTTCAATTTTAATTTATTAACCATTTTACTATTTTTCAATTTTAATTTACTAACCATTTTACTATTTTTCAATTTTAATTTGCTAATCAATTTTGTCATATAAAAATATGTACTTTAATATAAAATTATTACTCTCGTTATTTGTAGATATTTTCTTTGTATTAACAATTATGTAGCAATATACATTATGTTCCTTTTGTTTGTTTGTATTAATATTCGTTAAATATTTTTTAACATTTTAGAAATTCTGTTACTAATACTATATCTTGTTTACGAAACAAGTGAAAGAACTCTTGAATTTAAATGTTTTTAATGCAACAAACGAGTTGTCTCTAAAACTTATTAATTACTTATTAATAGAATATTTTGTACGTGTAAATATTTTTCCTTATAAAAATGAAATTAATGTTAAACATTCTTTGAAATAAATTATTCAACAAATTATTCAACAAATTATTGAAACAAATTATTCAACCAAAGATATTAATAATTAACACGTAATAATAAGGGCGTATTATATTAATTTCGCAAATTAATATAATTTGAATATGTAAACCTAAACAAGTCTTACATCGAAATTAGTAAATCATTTCAAAAAATTTTCTGCATTCCTGAATGAATTACTTTTTATAAGTTTTAAAGTGAAGAATAAAGAAACATATTTAAAAAAACGAAACAAGTGCAGCTAACGAAACAAATATATATTTCGTATAGAATTGAACAAACTTCAATCTATCATTGATATATTTCTGATGGTCAAACAATCGTGTTATTATGCACTTCTGCAAATTCTCTCGATACTTTGTAAACATAATATAAACGCTCGTAGAGATCTGCTGTACAGCCAATATCGCGTATATCGTTCAACCAATATGAAGATGTATGCCTACTAGTATCAATGTATGTAATTAAATATCCTTTGTTAGGGGATTCTTGCGAAACTACTAATTTTGTATGATCCTCGAAGAAATTCACTTGTAAGAGAGGTATTGACAGTTCCATCATAATAGTCTTATCAGTTCTTAACCATCTTCTCATTCGCGGTACACAAACGTTCTTTGACCGTTTTAGTGCAGTTCGATGTTTTTTAATTTCACCACCTTAAACATAATGAACAAATTCTTATTTCGTATCATTTTTATTATAATACACAGAGAGTTTCAATATTTCACACACAATTTTTGAGGTATTTACAGTATTTATATATTTTTGAGGCATCGTTATTTACAGTATTTCATATATTTTTGAGGTATCGTTGCGAAAAAAGGTTGTAAACCAAAATTTATCTATATATTGTATATAACAAAAACTTTAGAAATGTTTTATTTTCATAGTAAATTGAAGTTTTATAAATATATAATTTTATTTCTATTATGTTAAATATATCTTATTGAATATTTTTGACTATATGATGTTTTTTCTATTATATTGTGTAAAATATAATAGAGATCAAGTTTGATTAAGATCATCTTTTTATTACATTACTGCAAATGCCACTACAATATAACAATATAACAGAATTAGCATGCATATATTTTTTTGAATTTTATACAACATACAATAACATAATGTTACTAATAATAATAATTGTATTTATTATTATTGTATAGTAAAAGTATATTATAGTTAGTTGTATTTGTTGTAAAAAATGGTACTTATAATTAAAGTATATATACGGTAATGTAAATTATTAAATTATTAAATCACAATAGCTATACTTTCTGTCTTTTTTTTAGAATGAGTCTTAATTGCAAAATATTTTATACATTTACAAATATAGTACTATTAAATAATATAATTAAGTGTCCATATTTTTAAGATCGAAAAAATTTCAAAATTATATTATAATGCATAACTAAAGTGAATTTTTAAACTTAGTTAAATTATGCGCATCTTTTGATATTTTTAATTTTGAAAATATTTAATTAATGTGATTTGTGTAATATTTAAAATTAATGAATAACTGTTTGTATTTCCAATTTATTTTTTTTAATTGTATTATTATTTATATGTAGCATGAATTCAAATTTTTGAATAACACAAAACATTGCAAAATATACAACAAAATATACATAGATATTGTTTATTTCGTGTGATACTAGATAATACTTTACACCAATCTATTATAAATTTATTATAATCTTAAATAAATAATCTAATGTTATAATCTAATATATTTATAACGTATTGGAAAGTAAATGATTTTTATTTAGAAGTTTTAATATAGCTATTAGTTTTAATATAGCTATTAGTAAATGATTTTTATTTAGAAGTTTTAATATAGCTATTAGACATATTAGCAATAATAAAATAATAATTAATATAATTTACCTTCAGTCATAAATTTATCCATGTACTGCGTAAAACGTTGCAATAATATAAGTTTCTTTTGTAAAGCAGCTGGAACATCTTGCTCTTTATGATACCTTGTTACTTCATCGTCGGTTGTCACGTACTCCACTCTTCTTTGCAAATGAAACCACGTTTTTGAATAAGTAAAACACAATAAGATAAAAAAAAAAAATGTTTAATCCTTTGCAGTACAAATTTGTATAATTTTTGAATATTACTGTTACGTTACTCATTCTTTTTATTTAAGTTTTTTTCTTTTAAATTGTTAACTACTCTTTTTTTTTCCTAATAAAGTCATACGAACGAAAAAGTTAAATGTTATAATAAGTATTTAGTATCTTTATCTGATTTATTTTAAAATGAAATGTACTTCAAAGAATTATAACATATAATATTGAAAAAAGATATACTGACCTTCTATCATGTGTGTAACTAATTTTTGTATGATCGTTGAATAAAATACCGACAGATTTATCTGAAAGTTGAAAACCTAAGCCGTACTTGTTAGAATAATCAATCCACTTAGTGATGAACAGAGGCACAACATCTCTTACAGGTGGATGATTTCGCAGCTTGTTTTTACACTTTATCTCTGTAATACAATTTTCTAGCGCTTGGTGCATTTGCATACTCTGTGCCGTGTATCCTATTTTCTTCTGATCTGGACAAAGAACGCTACTCAATCTTTGTCTAAATTTTGGCACTTTTCGAAGTTTTCTGGCTAACCAACGGATCACTTTCGATCCTTTTCGTAAACTTTTTTCAGAAAGGTTTGCTTGATGATGCTGTTGTTGTTGTTGTTGTTGCTGTTGTTGATCCTGATGTTGAGATTGTTGGATTGTATGAATCTGTAATTACAATGAAGAAACTAAATGAGATAAAATGATTATCCTCCGAATTTAACAATGTTATAACTTATCAAAAATTAAGAATTAAAAATTACTTTTAATTTATTCCTAAATTGTGTATTATTGTATAAATGTAGTGCTAAGACGTTTATATTTCATCGCTTCAGATAGAAATTTCAATGTTTAATTTCTCTAGATCTAACAGAAATTAATTTAGGAAACTATTATTCAAAACTATCAAATATTCTAATATCTGATTCATCTAATGTAAGATCACTTTTTGTTGATACCTTGAAACAGATATATCATACATACATATAAAAATATAATAAGTAAATCTTCTGTTATCTAACATACAGATAAAAATGTTACTCTTTATTAATCTTATGGCAGGATGGACAGCAGAATGAAGTAAAACGTAATCTCATTAATAACTGATGATTATAATTAATGTGAAATCATAATATTAATCATGACTAATCAATAAGAAAAGTAATGAAAATTATTAATCATAAAATGATTACACTTTTGATTATGATTGTATCGATAATTTACTCCAGTATTATCAATAACACTATGTATATTGTAGAAATTATATATTTATTATTTGTATTGTTTTGTAC